ACATCATTTTTAAGAGAAAATGAGCGAAAACTTAGTATTAATGCATATAGCGTGAATGTGCCAAAGGCTACGTAGATCTATCGTTAGAGTTGATGAGGGTTAGTCCGGAATTTGCTATGGGAATAAATTTATATTTAAAATGTTTATTAACTACGTAATTATGATTAAGTGATGAAAAATTTTCTCCTTGTAGTAACTAGTAAATCATCTTCACTTTGTATACACGCCTTAGCATTCCATGTTATCGGATTCAAAAAGCTATTCAATGTTTTAGCTAAAATTGTCCTTTATCTTTAGGGTAGGTTTAATTGTGTCCTTTATCTATTACCTTGAGCACCTATTGTTCTTTAAGTTTGTTAAAGTTGAGCAGTTTTAGTCTACCCAAAAGAATTCAAACGGAGAGTCCTAATTTAAACGGAAGATGCATGAGTCTTTGTCGGCAGTGGTGAAAAAAGAGATTTCGACCGGACTGTTCTTCACTTCTTCTTCTTTGAAATCCCAATTCCATTTTTTCCCAATTTGTTTAAATGCATCAGAGCCACATCTTTCTTCTATTGCTGCTATATATACCATTTGCCTTTAGTAGCAACTTTAACTTTGCCTTGCCATTTTTCTTCTAAATTTTGATCGAAAGAGAATAGAAGAGGGACAGAGAAAAGGGAACTAAAAAAAATTATTTTTTCCCATCTCCAAATTAATGAGGAATGGTGGATGAGCTTTTGATCTTGAGTGAATTTTATCAAATCAAGCGACGAGGATATGGTGTATATATACTTTGGACTTGTTCCTACCCGTAAACTACAATCTACACCTATTAACCCAATCTAACTTTGAAAGATCACCTAACTGGTGTTTGGAAATTGTTAAACAAAATGACGCTAAAAAGAACTCTTATGATTTACTACATCGGTTCTGCAGAATTTGAGTACTGAAAGTCTCTTTACCCAGTTGACTCAGTGAAACTACCGTTAGTTTTTAGGTTTGCATTTGGGTTTTCTGTTAAATGGACTAAACCTGCTTAACTTTAGCAAACTTAAAGGACAATAGGTGCTCAAGGTAATAGATAAAGGATAAAGTTAGACCTACCCCAAAAGATAAGGGATAATTTTGACTAAAAACTCACACATTGACACATGAGAAAATAAAAGTGTACGTCGAGACAAGTGTGATATGTTTATTAATTGATGTAAATATTGAGAGTCAGGGATCAAAATGTAATATTAGGAAGTTTGGGGTAGTTAGTTATGTAAAAGGAAAAATAGGTTGTTATATAGTACAGTAAATCTAGAAATCCGATTAACCTGTACATAACCGACCTTCTTCCTAGCTGAAGCTCAATCTTTCTCTCTCTAGATTCTTCCAATTCAATTAATGAAAATTGTTCTTGCATGTGATATGTAGTGTTGCAATTGTTCAATCTAGCTCAAATTAGCATGGTATCAGAGCAGCGATTCTAAAATTAGGACTCTGACGTGACTTCCGGCGACCACTGAACTGAGACCTGACGAAATTGGTTGTTTAAGACTAAATCGTGATGGAACAAAATGAGGTTTCTTAACTCGAACACAATCATCCGTTGTTTCTTCGAGCGAAATATGCACCAGGACTAGTTTTAGTCCCAATCAAACTCACAGGGCCGGAGAATTATGCCTTGTGGAGTAGGGCGGTGAAGCTAGCTCTTATGGAAAAAAGTAAGCTTGGATTCGTTGACGGAACCTGTGTAAAAACTATGTTCAAAGGGGAACTAGCAGAACAATGGGAGAAATGCAACGCGATTGTACTCTCATGGATTGGTAGCACTATTGCAGATGAATTGATACCCAGCATCATATTTGTGTCTGGTGCAAGGAAAGTGTGGGGCGATTTTAAGGAAAGGTTTGATAGATGCAGTTTGACTAGAATATATCATCTATGGACAGAATTGCTAGCTTGAAACAAGGTACAGATTCTATGACTACTTACTACTCGAAGATGAATGATCTATGGAGTGAACTAGATGTGTTAGTTCCTTTGTCTTCATGTGATTGTGAGGAAGCTAGGCCGTCCATAGAACATCTAGCTAATCAGAGGTTATTATAATTTTTAATGGGATTGAATGAAAGCTATAGTAATATGAGAAGTAATGTGCTGCTAAGAAGACCTGTAGTAACTGTAAATAAAGCATATGTTATAGTAACACAAGAAGAAAGTCAAAGATCTTTGGGTGTTGGTGATGCAAATAGAGATCCTCTAACTATGTTAACAGGAAGAACTCAAGGCTTCAAGCCTAAGAAAGCATGGCTCATCTGTAATCACTGTGGGTACAAAAGACACCTAAAGAAAAATTATTACAAAATTGTTGGATATCCCGTTGATTTCAAAAGCAAAAAGAAACCAGCAGGAGCAGGAGGAAGAACTTATGCCAACAATGCTACTGTGGAAGAAGCCAACAGTAGTGGAAACCTTCAACAAGGACAAGGACACTTCCTGACAGAAGAACAATACAAACAATTAGTAGGATTGTTGAACAAGCCATCTGGTGGTGAGAGTTCTATCAATATGGAAGGTATTGTTGCTTTATTACCCAGTGCTTCTCTAAGAGAGTGGATAGTAGATTCTGGAGCAACACATTACATTACTTGCAATAAGGAAGTTCTAAACAATACAAAATGATTAGACTCAAACGAAGGAAGTGGAGTGCAATTACCAACAGGAAGTAGAGCAGTGATAATACACACAGGGGATGCAGTGATTCTAGGGGATCAGTGCATCAGAGATGTCCTATATGTGCCAGACTTTAAGTTTAATCTATTATATGTAGCAAAGCTAATAGAGGAACTTAAATGCTTTGTTGGCTTTTATCCTGACTTATGTTTATTACAGGAGCTCTACAATGGCAAGGTATTGGGGATTGGAAAGAAGTCTGGAGGTCTGTATATACTAAAGGAAAGAGGTGCAGTAGCAGCAGCTGGATCAGTATCAAAAGAACACACACAGAGTGCACTTTTGCATTTCAGGCTAGGTCATGCTTCATTGAAGGTTGTGCAACACATTTCATCCCTACAAGGCAGAATAAATACTAGACAATTAAAATCTTGCTCTATATGTCCTTTAGCTAAACAATGTAGATTACCATTTCCTGTTAGCAATTCTAAATACTCAGCTATTTTTGAACTTGTTCATCTAGACATTTGGGGACCCTATAAGGTACCCACTTATGATAGGAAAAGGTACTTTGCTACAATTGTTGATAATTTTAGCAGATACACTTGAGCTTGTTTGATTCAGTCAAAATGTGAAGTTTATGTTGTGTTGAAGAATTTTCTATCTTTAATTCAGAATCAGTTTGGTGTGTGTGTTAAGATTGTGAGATCTGATAATGGGACTGAGTTCTTCAATGCACAGTGTAATGAATTACTGTCATCTCTTGGTATTTTACACCAAAGTAGTTGTCCTTACACACTCCAATAAAATAGGATGGTTGAAAGGAAGCATAGACACATCTTGGAAGTAGCCAGGGCACTGAAGTTTCAGAGTGGGATACCTATCAAATTTTGGGGTGTTTGCATGAAGACTGATGTATATTTGATCAACAGAGTACCTTCTTCAGCATTAAGAGGAAAAACACCTTTTGAATTGCTGTATGGGAAGGTTAGCAGGATTAATCATCTAATAAGGGTATTTGGCTTCTTATGTTATGCAAGCAATCTGCCTAAGGGAGACAAGTTTGCACCTAGAGCAAGGAAGGCAATTTTCACAAGATATGTTGAAACTCAGAAAGGATACAGGTTATATGATATGGAGACACAGTCCTTTTTTGTTAGCAGAGGTGTTCAGTTTAGAGAAGACTGTTTCCCTTTTAAAATGGGAAATGTTGAACAAGGTGAAGGTGGCTCATTCCTTCAGCAGTCAACTCAATTCCTAGTGCCTGATCCCTATGACAATACCAATACTCATGAGCAGCTCACATTTCCTGCATATGCTTCTCTGCCTGAAGACAATATTGAGACTAACATTGGGAATGCTCCACTACAGGACAATCATGTCCCAGCTATTGTTGAATCAATTGATGCAGCCGATGAGCAGCCTAAGCCAGTAATCACTGAAGCCAATGAATAGCCTGCATCAACAGTTATACTACAAGATGTTCCACAATGTACTACCAGCAAACCTCAGAGCAAAACAGGGCCTCCCATCTGGATGAAGGATTATGTGAATCCTATAAAAGGATCATCAGGTCACAGGTATCCTATATCCAACCATGTTGATTATTCATATTTGTCTAACTCATATCAGGCTTATTTGCAAGCCTTCTCAGTTCTCACTGAACCTAGAAGCTTCAAGGAAGCTGCAGTTGATAAGAATTGGATTGAAGCAATGAAGCAAGAGGTTAAAGCTCTTGAGGACAATCAAACTTGGGAGGCGGTGCCCTTACCACCAGGAAAGCAAATAGTGGGGTCAAAATGGGTGTAAAGTACAAGGCAGATGGAGAGGTTGATAGATTCAAAGCAAGGTTAGTAGCCAAGGGCTATACTCAACACGAAGGCCTTGACTACCATGAAACTTTTTCACATGTGGCTAAAATGGTCACAGTTAGGACAGTCATTGCAGTTGCAGCATCAAAAGACTGGCCATTATTTCAGATGGATGTTAATAATATTTTTCTCCAAGGTGACCTAGAAGAAGAAGATGTTTACATGGAAATGCCTTAGGGTTTCCAGCAACAGGGGGAGTACAGGGTATGCAGGTTGCTGAAATCCCTGTATAGCCTTAAACAGGCTTCTAGGAATATAAAGCTAACCACTACCCTTGTGCAAGCTTGGTATATACAAAGTCCATATGATCATTCCCTTTTTACTAAAAAAAAAAGGAGTTGATACTGTAGTGATCCTAGTGTATGTAGATGACTTACTAATCACAGGAAGTAATGTTGACTTGATACATGAGGCAAAGGATTCCTTGCATAGTAACTTCATGATGAAGGACCTGAGGGAATTGAGGTATTTTTTGGGCATGAGGTGATGAGGTCAAAGGAAGGAATAGTTCTCAACCAAAGAAAATATGCTTTGGAGTTAATCTCTGAAGTAGGACTTAGTGATTGTAAACCTGCTTCCATACCAATGGAACTCAATCACAAGCTAACAACTGTAGATTATGATAAGCATGTGGGAATCACTGAAGATGCAGAACTGGGAGATATAACAGCATATCAGAAACTTATAGGGAAGTTGTTGTACTTGACCATCACAAGACCAGACCTATGCTTTGTTGTACAGGTTTTGAGTCAATTTATGCAAAATCCAAAACAATCCCATTTGAATGCAGCAATGAGAATCATCAGATACATCAAAGGTTCACCAGGCCTTGGTATATTCTTGAAGAAGGGAGAAACTCATACTCTTACAGCTTATTATGACTCAGATTGGGCTGCTTGCCCCAATACTAGGAGATCAATCACAGGCTATGTTGTGAAGTTAGGAAACTCATTGCTATCTTGGAAGTCTAAGAAACAACAAACAGTCAGTAGAAGCTCAGCAGAAGCAGAATACAGGAGCATGGCAGCTGTAGTTGCAGAAATCATTTGGGTAACAGGATTATTAGAAGAATTGGGAGTGAAAGTACAGAAGCCAGTACATCTGCACTGTGATAGCAAAGCTGCGATACGAATAGCAGCAAATCATATCTTCCATGAGAGGACAAAACATATAGAGATCGATTGTCATTTTGTGAGATAAAGAACCAAGGTAGGACTGATCACTACGAACTACAATCCTTCCAAGCAACAACTAGCTGACTTGATGACAAAGGGATTAGGAACAGTACAATATCACCTACTACTCTCCAAGCTTGGAGTGTTTGATGTCTTTAACGCTCCAGCTTGAGGGGAAGTATTGAGAGTCAGGGATCAAAATATAATATTAGGAAGTTTGGGGTAGTTAATTATGTAAAAGGAAAAATAGGTTGTTATATAGTATAGTAAATCTAGAAATCAGATTAACCTGTACATAACCGACCTTCTTCCTAGCTGAAGTTCAATCTTTCTCTCTCTAGATTCTTCCAATTCAATCAATGAAAATTGTTCTTGCATGTGCTATGTAGTGTTTCAATTATTCAATCTAGCTTAAATTAACAGTAAATATTCTTATCACCCAGGTTTGAATTCATAACCAGTGACAACTATCTATGAGAACTCGCTTTCGCTAGCTCCCGTGAATTTCTTTAACCAAGCTACTGCTTTTGAGTCGCTGGCTCATTCTTCTAACATCAGCTGTCAGAAAGCTTTTTTTGGTTATTCTTCGCTCATACTTCAATTACGGTGTTGCACATGCGCTTACCTTAGGTAGAGATTCAATGTCTCTTGTTCCAGTTTCCCTGATTTACGCTACTGATGTTCTCTCTCTAGAATGTTGACACATCCATAGTATATTGATTTTAATATTCAGTTCCCAAGGTTCCTTTCTTTTGCATTATTTTTATCATATCTACATTTCTATGAGATAGATACCGTTGTCATTCTCTGCTAAAAATTACCCCCTCCGTTTCAATTTACGTGAACCTATTTGATTGGGCACATAGTTTAAGAAAAAATGAAGACTTTTGAAATTTGTGGTACTAAACAAGCCAAAAAGGGGCCTTGAGTATTTGTGTGGTTATAAAAACTTCTCATTAATGGTAAAATTGTAAGTCTAAACTAAATTGTTACCAAATTTAGAAAGGAGTCATTCTTTTTGGAACGGACTAAAAAGGAAATAGGATCACATAAACTAGAATAGGGGGAGTATGAAATGCAACGGAACCAAACGCAAAACCTTTCAGATTTCATGTGGGCATATGCTTGAGCTCCCCGGCATAAATATTTTTAAACATACATGGTTTGAGTCAGTGCCAATGCGTAGAAGAAGCTAATAGGAGCATGAATGACAAGATTACCCTCAGGTTGACCATGAGAAGAACATGAAGGAGACATTAAATTAATATGCATGGCTAATAGTCAACAACCTACACCAGATAAGACCTTGCATTGACTCTCTGGTTTATGCATCTTCTTAGTTGAATTTGAAGAAAGAGACATTAAAAAGAATAGGCAATTCATATTGTATATGTTGCTTGATACCAAGGAATTAAAACACGCAACAATACTAATATAGTGTGATCTACATAAAAATAATTCCATGTATCTCGGATCATGTCACTCAGCCAGGCAATATGCTTAATACTTAACCAATTGCTGATCAGAGAGAAACGCCGACCACCCCAGAACATTATGATTAGGCGATGTACGTGAATAAATTTCTTTATTTTACAAATTAAACTTCTTCTAACAATATTTAGGTTTTTTCTTAAGTCAGAGGTTCGACTCAGGTTGAGGGGTAAGTGTCTACAGACCTCCGAAAGAAAGACGGTAAATGCGGATGCTTTATGCTATTCCATTTATGAAAGGCCAATACTCTGTTTAAGTTTACAAAGCTTACTATATTGATCCTTCCATGTGGAGTGTGTCCTTAAAAAAAATACAAAGCTTAAGTTTATTTTTATGGGTTTAACATTATACATTGATATACTGCTAACAATGTTTATGTTATCAAGTCATCTGAAAAATAACCATAGGTAACAATCCATAATATTTGTGATTAATAACTAAAAAATAGGTAAAGCAGCTTATCACACCATATTAAAATATACTAATAATATAAACATTATTTATACTATTAATAGTGTATATAAATGAAATATTTTTTTTATTTGTCTATGTTAAGGTGTTCCTCAACAAGAGGATTGCACGTGCAGCCTATGTTCCTTTGTAGCTGCGGCGAAAGAGCAGTCGAGGCAATCACCTGTTATTACCTTCATCTCTAGGGGCATTTTCACGAACAAATATTCATAAAAACCCATCGAGAGTTTTGAGAATTTTCATTCTGCATCTCTCTCTTTTCTCTCTCTAAATCTCTTGAGTGTATAATGCACGAACCTATGAAAATGAAGAAAACAGCTATACTGTTGGTGCTGCTATGTGCCACCCTCCAAGTCGGTTCATCACTAATTGATGGTAATTAAAAATCTTTATCCTTTTAATTATCATCTATTTTTAGTGTGTGTTTCAAATTCTGCTCAATATGAACTACTGAACTTCTCATTTAGTATGAAATGATACTCAGCGCCTTGCCATGCATCTACATTTGACTTTTTTTGAATCCTACCTGAGCCCTTTTTAACTCTTAAAAAAGTTTTTATCGTGTTAATCCAAGAGTTTAGCTATAAGGTTAGCTTATTAATAATGAGATCTCGGAAGATACAAAGAGGTATCAGTTATATACTTAGATGACTCAACCATTCCATTAAGCTATTGGATGGTCATTTATAAAAAATTGACAAATCTTTTTAAAAAGTGTACTTTTTTAGCTAGATGTATTAGTGTTTTGCCCTAATGCGAGAAAATACAGTTTTTTATCAAAGGTGAAGCCAACGACATAATATTTGATCTATATAAACAAAATTAATGTTACGAAAACTAAAATGTAAGTATTCAATTGTAGCGTACGTAGCTCCGTAGCAATGAGTTTTGGCTCATGGATATTTATGGCTAATTTTTAAATTATTTGCTAAGTTATTGTTTCATTTGGAAATTAAATCAAATGAAGGACAATAAATTAGCTTTCTCGTTGTTGGTACCATAAAATACCATAAGGTACACATGATCTATCGTTGTGAGCGATTTCTCAGCACCGAGTTCGCATATGTCATTAATTAAATGCTCCAGCCTTAAAAGATAATTAATTAATTAATATTAGCTTTAACTATAAGAATTTTCGTTTAAATTATTATTCATGTCTCCTAAATATCTTAATTAATTCTTTACTAATAAAAATGCAAGGGTCAGTTTTTATAAAATAAAAGTATAAATATTTGTTTGTTTCTATATTACATTAAATATTTTAAAACAAATTCAATTTCCAAAATGATTAATATTTGATAGCAGAGAGAGCAATCGTTAGACGATAGTTGGGCATTTTGCCAGGAACCGGAAAGCAAACCTGGATCTGATCTCCTCAAGTGGGGGCAATGCTTACGTTAGTGGTTAATTAAGCTAAAGGCTGTTTAAGAATAAATTCTTGTTGCAGTTCAATATATCCAACTACTACTATAATTTATCCGATTTACTTTATATGCATCAAGTATGAAGAAATTTTATATGATTAGTGAACTTTAACCTGTTATAGCTAATAAACAATCTTATTTTTCAGGTTACTGGATTTACTTTCTGCACACGATTATCTTTTAGGTGATATAATAGTATTAGATGTTAAAATCTAATTTATTTTCTTCTTGTGTTTTTTAATCAGGATTATTGCCAAACGGCAATTTTGAGCAAGGTCCAAAACCATCACAAATGAAGCACACAATAGTGATTAACCCTCACGCTATACCCCATTGGGAACTATCAGGTTATGTTGAGTACATTAAATCAGGCCAAATGCAAGGTGACATGTTACTTCCAGTGCCACAAGGTGATTTTGCAGTTAGACTTGGCGAAGATGCTTCCCTTAAAACCAAAGTTGTGAATGTCACAAAGGGAACATTCTATGCTCTATCTTTTGTCTTTGCTAGGACTTGTGCTCAAGAAGAAAGACTCAATGTGTCAGTAACACCTAGTAAAGAACCCAAAGACTGGGGAATGTTGCCATTGCAGACAATGTATAGTAGTGATGGTTGGGATACTTATTCTTGGGGTTTCTTCGCTGAGGCCAATGTGATTGAAATTGTGCTCCATAATCCTGCACGTGAGAAGGACCCTGCTTGTGGCCCCCTCATTGATTTCGTCGCGCTCAAGGCTTTGAAAACCCCCCACAGACCAAAAGGTACGATCTGTCTTTTAATTAAGATTTTTGTACATTAAATTACTTATAAGAATAAAGATACTTAATAGTCTTAAGCAATATTTGTTTAAATATACACTTTTTATATTAGTTTTTTACGCGATCAAATGTAGAGAAGATATTTCAATTTGACCAAGATTAATCACCTGATTCATGATAGAAATTGTTGATACATTTGAAAATATTGACTTGTTTACTCTAGTACTTGGGTCCAAGAATTGGTAAGCGAATATAGAATGCATTCACCTTATGTAGTATATATATGTACTACTACATATTTTTAACCTTTTTGACACATATATAGTTCGAGTTAAACTAGCTAAATTATTCAGATCCGTTTGCGTAGACTATGAAGTGTAAAAAACACTAAAATCACACACTTACATGACTTATTTAAGTTATACAAACAGTATAAAAGAATTTACACTTTTCGTTGTAAAAAAGAATCACACGTAATCTAGCTTATCATATCGGTGCTTATTAAATAAAATTATCCATAATTACCTTTTAAATAACCGGATTATGTAAATATTTCTTGTGCCATTAGTAAACGGAAATTAAGCTCTAATTATTAAAGTGTGTAACCATCTCATCTAAAAGCTTAAGCTGTTAGAGAGAGCACACTTTTATTTACTTAATTATGTCTTCAACGTGTCCCCTCACGTGCGGGCTTGATTCTTTTCGATGAGCCAAGTACGTGAAAATTCTTTTGATATTTGGTGGCGGTGAGACTCGAACCCAGGACCTCTGCCTGTCATGATACCATGTTGAAGTGTGTGATCATCTCATCTAAAAGTTTAAACTGTTAGAGAGAGCATACTTTTATTTACTTAATGATGTCTTCAACACTAATTACATAAATGTATACAGGCAATATGTTGAAGAATGGAAATTTTGAGGAGGGTCCATACATCTTCCCAAACACAAACTGGGGCATTCTAATTCCTCCCAACATAGAAGATGATCATTGTCCATTACCTGGATGGATAATCGAATCTCTCAAGGCCGTAAAATACGTTGATGCTGAACACTTCACCGTGCCAGAGGGCAAGCGCGCCGTCGAGTTAGTCGCCGGAAGAGAAAGTGCATTAGCACAACAAGTCATAACCAAAGCAGGAAAAATTTATGATCTGATTTTCACTGTTGGAGATGCTAACAATTCTTGTGAAGGGTCTATGCTAATTGAGGCATTTGCTGGAAAAGTTGCATTACAAGTTCGCTATATGTCCAAAGGCAAAGGTGGTTTCAAACGTGCAAAACTTAGGTTTACTGCAATTTCTCGACGCACAGGGGTTAGGTTCTTGAGCACAAATTATCATATGAAGAGTGATAATTCTGGCTCTTTGTGTGGTCCTGTGATTGATGATGTTAGGTTAGTCAGCGTTCGCAATCCACGCATTCCGTAGATCAATTAATTAATTAATGAGTTTATGTTCTATGCACTAACAATAGTGTATACAACTTAATTAATAAGGAAACAACTTACATTATGTTATGTTATCTTTTTATTTGGTTGCTTGGTTACATTGTTTTACAGAAATGAGCTATATTATATATTCAGTGTAAGCTTTACTATAGCACAGTTGTCGCTTTTATACGTTACACAAGAGGTTTAAGTTATTTAGTGTTACAGTGTTTCGTCTTACAACATGTACCTATCGAAATTTCAAGAATTAAATGAAATTATGTTTGTTTATCTCACTTTCTTTTCCCCCTTTGGTATATTATATCTTTTTATCATTATTTCTTCTATATATGTGGGACTCACATAACTAAACATTTATTCTGATACCATTGTAAGAACTTGAGCATATATCCTACAATGCTATACTGTTCATCAATACATGAGATGGCTCAATACTGATGCTCTATGAAAGAGTTTGAGCATAAAACCAGCTGAAACTAAAGGGGTAGTTTGGTACATGGGATAAGGATAATAATCACGGATTATAAAATTTGGAATTAATTTTATCTCATATTTGATTTGGGGTATTAGTTAATCCGTAATAATAGCTTGTTGGGTACGAGAAATAAGGGATAATGAATCCCGAAATTAAATTTGAGATGAGTTTATCCCATATTTGGTTGGGATAAAATCGCGGTATAACTAATCCTTTGTAGTGTTATTTTTATCGCTATGAAAGGGTGGGATAATAATCCCAGGATAACCATTCCCGGAATAATTAATCCCGGAATAATATGTTTTCCAATCAAACGACCCCTTAAATGGTGAGATTAGCTATCCCATGTAGAAGGTAGGATAGCTAATCCAATGGGATATCCTTATATATCCTACTACCAAAAGACCCTTAAGATCTTCATAAATACCTTTGGAAACTCTTACAATATCTAATAGTATGAAATAAATGGAGCTCAACAACCTTGAACCTCTAGAAGTTTAAATTAATTTGGCTGCACCTTATAAAGTATGTTCTCTTTATCCCAAACAATCTTTATTGGTTCTTTATTCCCAGAATAAGTTGAAGCTAACATTTCCTTTCTCCTCCCTTCCGAGTGCCAAAGCAGAAATCTTCTTGGGGAGAAGTGTAGATGACAATTCAAAAAGTGAAGAACCTTCAAGTTGTAAGATCATCACGGTTGAGCTGACATAGGAATTCATTGGGTACAAATTGCATCGGTAAATACTTTTCCGTGCCCGGCATTTACATCAAACCAAGCAATTTACCTTACCAGTTAAATTTTTATTTTTATTTTATTTTTTGAGAAACAATGAAACTCCTCCAATCGAGAGCCTTTACCTAATATAGTACGTCTAATTATATGTTTGAATTATTTTAACCATTTCATCTAAATCCATTAAACTTTAGAGAGAAGATCTCATTTAGCTGCCATTAGTAGGGATAAAACTTGAAGTAAAGCTTCCATCCAAAACAGGCAAAAATCCTATCTCCTGGGTGACTTCCGAACAAAGGTGCCCATCAAAACTATTCACACTTCAATTCCAAATATTAAAGCTTTCATATAGACGATACTGTAAATAGTACAGCAGCTATTTATTCCCCCTCAAAAAGAATAGCTCCAATGACAGATCTATTGTCTAGATTCTGTCGTATAACACTTACAATTCAAATCACTGGGCAGTATTTTATTATACCTTGTGCCCTGTACACTTACAGTACACAGACAGAAATGTTCTCAATTCACATTTGCGAGAAGTGAATAAGATCAGTTGACAACATCGAGGACCAATTTGCGAGATTTCAGGACAGACCATCTCAGGCGACGGTAGTAAGCTGCTTGGAGAAGTGCAAGTGACAAAACAAATATCCATTTGAAACCCATCTGTAGGAATTACAATACCCAAGTGGTCAGAAAATTCCTTTTTACGGCACATTTAACTGTCAATGAGGATCCAATATCAGATCAATATGTAAAAGGCAGAGGTTGAGCACATCAGTTCAGCATGCACAAGGCTGAGGTTGAGTATATAGAGACTTTAATGAAAGAACTTCAATACAAAAATGACTTCCAAAACCTCATACACCATTAAGAGACTAAAATAATGCAGGGGAAGGACTAAATGGAAGATTGCAACTTACCAGCTTTCTCTCTTCCATTTCTGGCTCAGCAGCCCATGACAAGAACGACACAACATCTTTTCCCATCTGCATAGTGAGATAAATATTACTTCCATCTCTCAAAAGAGGGTCAATAAATAAAGTAGAAAGAGAACAAGACATAGTACTTGTGCCTCAGTAGCCGGTGTACCATCTTCATACTCAACAGCACCATCATTAAGCATTTTAGGCATTGCTATAGCTCCACCAGGGAAGTAAGGGTTATAGTGAAGACCTTCCCTAATCTACAATCAGAGTTGAAAAGTATTATGGTTCTCAATTAAACGGGAGCACATTTGTATCTCTTCACAACTACATCTTCAGAATTGCAGAATTTTTGTTTTTGTTGCTTCCCCTATTCTAAACAAACAAAAGCTAGTCACAAACCAAAAGGAGTCTGAGAGACAGAAATTACCGAGACACCAGCAGGAGGGTCCCGATAGCCAGTTAGAAGAGCAAAAACATAGTTTTGACCATTATGTCGGGCCTGAAAGCAGAAAGAACAATCAAGCAATGCAGATATAATATAGCTGAAAGTAGAAGATCAAGACAGTACCTTAGTGATAAGACTTAGATCAGGAGGATAGGCTCCACCATTAGCAAACCTTGCAGCTGCTTCATTTGCATAAGGCTGTGGAAAACGATCACTCAACTTCCCAGGGCGGGTGAACATCTCACCCTCGTCATTAGGGCCATCAACCACCTCAATTTCTGCTGCCATGGCCTTAGTTTCTTCTTCAGTGTATGCCACACCGACAAGATCACGGTACGAAATTAGTGACATCGAGTGGCACGACGCACACACTTGCTGGTAAACCTGGTGACCTCGGCGTATCCTGTCAAGCAAATAAATGCATTGAAACTAAATGAGTGTTTCCATTTTAATTAAACACAGAACAAAAGATTGAAATGTTATTTTAAGGCCTCTAATAAGCTTTGCCATGTGGTGTGGCAGCATAGCATATACTTACGAAGCATGATCATAAGAACTGAGGATGCCTTCGTGAGGCCAAGGATAGCTGGGACACTCTAACCCATGTTCTGCTTCATCAGAATAAGCAACACTTGTGAAGCTAAGGAGCCCAGAGACTCCAGCACCAATGACTGCTAATGCTCTGAAAGATTTTAAGCCAGCAGATCCAAACCCATCCGAGTCATGCTTTGGAATAAACAACAGAAGGCATTTAGTTGGTTGTAATAATTTAAAGATCATTCAATGCTAATCTAAAGGATTCATCAGAACACACCAACAGCTGTAACGATTGGCAGAAGTAAAGAAACAAGTAGTATATGGCATAGATAATGCACGGTTGTGTACATCCTTTACAGATAAGAAATTGCTCATATCAAGAAGATACTCCTGCTATATATCTTAGTGATAAGAACTTCATTGGCAAATATGTGAACATAATACTATAAAAAGGCAATTATAAGGCATATTGCAAAATCTTAATGATTCTGAACCACTAGGATACATAACTATTTTTACTCTCTTTTAGAGGTTCAATTCTGATGGTTCTTCCAAGAAGCAATATTGCTCCTCAGGGGAAGGAAACCATCAGAGGGTCGGAAAAACTAACTTTGCATAGGTTACATTCTCATACATACACGAGTGAGTAGTTATATGAATGATACTCTTAATTTATATGTCAAGGAAATATGCAATCTCAAGAATCAGATTAAATTTCAAACACTGGGAACGATAAGTCTTCCGAGAGATCCACAAAACTGACTATGCAACTTTTGAAATGTAAGAGGGCACGCTTTTGGTGATCAACCACTCTGCATTTCTATTCTTTGCTTGTGAAACAAAGGATGTATCATGTATGGATTGTAAGACAAGTAGAACTAGTATCTGCCAGGGGGTAAATACAGTGCTGACTTGACATTTATTCTTGTGACAGAACCACCAAAAAGAAAACAAAGTTCAAGTTCTTTAGTTTCACTCGGGGACATGGAAACACGGTCAAGATGTAAAGTAGCTCTCTACCGTGTATCAAGATCCATTGCTTGCTCTAACTATAGGAATGCATTAAATATCCTGTAGCGTCAGTAGCATATGCCATTTGCTGATCTAGCCAAATATCAGGTTCGTTGAGGAACCTGGAAGGATTATCTTGGTGATTAATTCAACCTGGAATGGAAAGACGTGGATTGTGCTCTGCCTTCGTGAAGACTATGACACTAGAACGAAGCATATTTCACCTCTTATACATGCTTTATTCTAGATAGATAGTACATGGGAACTTTGACATTGTAGCTGCATTAGTGATTTGGGTCAAAGAGCTCCAAGTTTACCAGTTGATAAGGTTAGTCAAAGCTAAAAGGGTTACCTCGGGGTTGGTGGCTGCTGCCCAACTGCCAGTCTGCCACCATTACTATGACCAATAGCAGAACCTTGATAGCATCTAATGCTAAGTTGTTCCTATGTACACCCATCTAGAAAAAGGGATAATGACCTAGTAAGAGATAGAGGATAATCTCTCTTGAGTTTGGGTGAAGTGGAGATATAAAGCAATTTATCTTTTTAAGAGTTTGAATGCATTAGGTCTCTGCTTGTCCCATATGGCCTTTTCTATTTCACCAATCTCACACATATATATAATTTATAGGCAAAGTTAATTGATTGATATTGAATCTCCCATCCTATGCAAACAAATCCCAACTTTTTTCCCTAGTCAAAGGCACATCATCTAGGATTCAGATGAGGCATATACTTTATTCACTACTCCAACTAAAATTAAAGGCAAGGTGACGGTGTGCCTAGCTGTTTTGAGTCTTGCCAACGAGGTCAAGTCGAGAGCATAGAAATGATGACGCCCGAAACATAGAATTATCAATAGTTGCAACAGTTGATGTTTCAGAGGCTGATACAACAACAACCACCAATACGTTCAACCCAAAAAAGAAAAAGAAAACAGTGAAAAATAAAGATGAATGAGATAT